ATATAGTATATATGGATGAACTTCAGAAACATTATGCTAGGTGAAAGCAGCCAGACACACAAGGCCACATGCTGTATGATTCCATTTATATGAAATATCCAGAATAAGCAAACCCATAGAGACAGAAAGTAGGCTTACAAGGTGCAGGGTTTCCTTTGGGGTGATGAAAATGTCTCAGAACTAGACATGATGGTTGCACACCATAAGTACACTAAGTGTTGCTGAATTGTCCACTTTAAAATGGTTAATGGTTAATTTTATGTTATATGAATTTTTCTTCAAAAAAATTACAAGGTATCCCTGAATGTGGGCAAATACTGGAAATGGGTCCCTGCTTTTGCATTCTGGCCTGGTGTACTGGCCAGCCCCCAAGCTGCATAGAGGCAGCAGTGGCCAGGCTCAGATGCCCCACAGAATGATGTCTTAATGCAGCCCAGCTGAGGAATTTCTTCTTCATAGGTCCTCAGCTATTCAAGTATGTGTTTCTCCCCCTTGAGGTTTGCTAGAACAGTTACTCATGGAGTTCCCAACCACAGACTGAGTTTGAAGTGTTTCTTCATTCTCATTGTTTTCAAATAACTTGTGTCTCATAAAACCAAAATAGCAGGGGAAAATATGGCCAATTTTCTGGTTTCAGCAAAATCTATTCAGCCACTTTGGCTCTAGAAATCATTCCGTTCCCACTCTTGGAAAATGCTATCCCAATTGCCCCACAGGCCAAGCCTCAGTGCTGGATTTTCAAAACAAAGTGAGCTGGAGAAAACAGAAATGCAGTAGGGGAAAACACAATTGTAGCAGTGGAGACCATCCCATGGCCTCTGACCTCAAGGTGACCCCAGAATTTGCTCCCCACACTACATAGGCACCTTTGGTGACAGGAAAGAAAGGATCATGGATTCACACTACAGCTTTTCTGGCATTATTATATGTAAGCCATGGGGGATGGAGAACTCAGTCTGTTTCCAAAAGGGTGGTCTGCTGATGGCCTCACAGGTCCTGTGGATCTCAAGGTGGAGAACTTTCCCATCTGAGGAGTAGAACATAAGCCCAGAAAGGCCTCCCAGCCTAAATATTGATAATCACCCCAAACTGGAAACAAATGCTCAATAATAGGGGAAATGTATAAACAAACCAGTACACCCATACAAGGGAATACTCCTTGGCAATCAAAAGGAAAGGACTACTTATCTATGCAATGACACTGATGAATCTCACACACTCACTGCCCAACTCTCCACACTGCCTGACTTTCAATAATGAAGAATTTGTTCTCCTTGGGGTACAGCCACTCTCCCTACAGCCTTCCTTTTATCTTTCAGTCAAGTGTATTGAAGTATGATTTACTTACATTAAAATGTACCCATTCTAAGTATACAGTTCAGTAAGTATAACAAATTTATACACCCATGTAACCACCTCCTCAATCATGATTTAAAACCTTCCTACCACCCAGAAAGTTCACTCAGGTCTCTTTGAGGGCAGTCTCTTCTCCATCCTCAGCTCTAGGCAACCACTGATATGCTTTCTGAACTATAGATTAGTTTTGCCTGTTCTAGAACTTCATATAAATGGAATCAAATGCTTTTTTCAGTCAAAATCATGTTCGTAAGATTCATCTATGTTGCTCTGAATAGCAATTGATCATTACTTTTTATTGTTGAGTAGTATTCCATCATATGGGTGTATAATTGTGTGTTCAGTCACCTGTTGATAGACATTTGGATGCTTCCAGTTTTCACCTGTTGGGCCTAAAGCTGATGGAAAGCTTGTGTGCAAGTCTTTTTAAGGATGTGTGTTTCCAGTTCTAATTTATCTAGGAGTGGTATTGCTGGGTCATATGCTAAGTATATGTTGAACTGCCACACACTTCTCCACAGAGGCTGCATCATTTTGCATTCCCACCAGCAGAGCGTGAGAGTCCCAGCTGTTCCTCATCCTTTCTCAATACTTGCTACTGTCTTTTTGATTCTAGTCATTATAATGGGTGTGAAATGGTATCTCATTGTGGTTTTGATTTGCATTTCCCTAATGACTAGTGATACCGCGCATCTTTTCATATACTTATTAACCATCTATATGTCTTCTTTGATGAAATAGCTATTCAAAAATTTTTGCTGATTTTCTAAAATTGAGTTCTCTTATTATTGGGTTTGAAGTGTTTTAAATATATATATACATGTACATATATATGTTAGGCAGGAAAATAGATATGAGTGGGGTGGAAAAAGAATAAAGCCATAAAGCCCACTAGAAGGGACTCAAAAAGTTAGCCAGTTAAAACTAGAAACACAGAAAAGACCCAGAGTTAATGAGTTAATCAGTTAAAGCTCAAAGGCCAGGAGCAACTTGGCCTAGAAATGTTTGAATATTCCCCAGATAAAGGAGGGTACCTCAGCATAACCCATGTCTTTATTGTATTAATCATTCAGGCCCAGCTTATTTTTTAACTTTACCTATATGCTGGTTTTTCTCCTTCAGCCCTAATCAAGTAATTTGCAACCTGGGCAACTAATTGGAACAACATAGGAAAAAGCAGGAAGGATTCCATCTTAAAGATAAGGTTGCATTTTAAAATTTAGGAAGAAGTAAGATTCTTAACTTTACTCTTTGCAAACAGACAATAACTCAGCCCACCTTGGGGGCCAGGCAGGTGGTCTTGTTTGATATGCTCCCAGACCAAGAAGCCAGTATCTCAGAGAGAAATCAGAGCAGTACATTTCTTGTGTTAAATTAATTTTAAATATTTGGGGGGCACTTAAAAGTCCACACCGCTAGCCCTTTGTCAGACTCCAGAAAAATTCTTAAAAGGGTGAACCCCCAGCCTTTCAGTGTGCACCTCTCTCTGAGGTTGCCTGTGCTTTCTAAGTGCATAACTTTAACTTTTCCCCAATCTTTCAGTGCGCCTCTCTCTCTGAAGTAGCCCACACTCCCCCTTCTCTGAATGTGCACTTTCTCTCTTTAAATAAAACTTAAACCTTTCAAGACACCTCTCCTCCCTGAGGTCACCTGCACATTTTTTTTCTCTTTATGTTAAGTAACTTGAAATAAGACTTTTACTCTGCTTCACTACTGTGTTTCTGCCCTTCAATTCTTTGTTGTGGTGAGAACAAGAACCAAGGAAAATACACAATGCCCCCCTAACATATATATATGGGGTTTTTTTTACACAAGACCTTTATCAGATATTGTGATAGGTCTAATCTGGGCAGCTTTACCCATTCAACAAACAAACCATATTAAACACCTACTATGTCTTAGACTCTAGAAACAGCAACATGAATAAAACACAAACTCTGGCCCTCTTTTAAAGACCATGGTTCAGAGCAAGCCACTCTGTGAAGCAAGCTAAGGAGTTGGGATAATATGCTGTAGACAGCAGGAAGACCCCAAAGGGGTTGACATGGGAGAGCAGTGAAAGGAGAGGCACTTCCAAGTGACCTTCATGTCAGGAGAATTTCTGTTTCCATTTTGCCCCAGATTTTCCCTGCTGTGAGCCACTTTGGATTCCACCATGACCTTGTTTTGGCAGGCTCATTTAATTATTTTTTCCTAGCTGAGGAGGTAGAGCCCTACCGCTGCCTTATTCTCAGGAACTTGTCATCCATAATCCGTGTGACTTGTAGTCAGAATAATATTGTCTGTGCTGCTGAGAGTGTTTCAAATTAAGGTGCCAGGGAATGTGGAGACAGTCATTAATTTTAAGTGCATCTATTATTAGCAAATGATGTCACTGCTAAGCTCTCCAACTTGTCACAAGAAGTCTGGATATATTTCAGGTTTCTACAGCAGGGACAGTTCCTGTTTTGCTGTACGCAAGATACGAATACTGTCTGCATCCTGTGAGGAATGAGAGAGCTTTTGGTACACATTTAAAACAATATTGGCTCTTGGAAGCAAACATTCTGTCCCAGTGAATCAATCAAACTTCATGTCCTTTCGAGGTAGGAGAAATGGCAAGGAGCTAGCTATTTGTGCTTTCAAGGCTCCTCAAGGTAGGAAGTCATGCCCTATTTATCATAGTGTTCCATGTGTGTTGTTCCAATTTTTTTCCTCACTTATTTATGGGGTGTCCCATAAAAGAATGTAAGTTTTTCAAGGACAAAGGCTATGTGGTTATATTCCTCATACTATCCCTTGAGTGTATTTGGAGGTACAGTGTGTACCTGTCGATTCATTGAATAGACCAAGTTTTACCTTTTGAAACAATAGAAAGAAAATTCTATTCCTACCCTTTTAGAATTACCTGGTAAAATTTTCTCTACCAACACTGCATACAGCGATCTATTATGTGTGTAGTTAGAACCTCAAATAATTACATTCATCCAAAGGTCAGAAGGACAGATTTTTTGTGTAGAATCATTTACTGCAGAATTTAACAAGGAATTTTTCCTTGGGCTACCTCAGTTAGATTTGAGCAGCTAAACCTATAAAAGTATAGAAAAGATTGTGTGTTGCATCTTCTTGTTATATTAAAACCCATATAACAATAGGACAAAAACTTGGAAAAAAGTTTTAAACATCCATCATCACATCATTCCAACATGAAGTTTTTCATCCCTTCTTCCTTTAGAAACATGGTTTCTTTAAGGTATTTTTTTAAATTAAATGAGCTAAAATAATGTGATTATAAAACCACTGTAGTTTTTGGTGATTACACCAATGAATTCATATCTGAAATTGGAATAAGAAAATTGCCAAGAAGTTATTTCATATATTTTGCTCAGGAGTTTTTTTTTTTAAACAAACAAAACCTTCACCACCTGCTGTTTCCTCTCATTCCCCATCCCCTCCCACAGGATTGCGCTGTCAGTGATATCTAATTAGAACTGGAAGCCAAGTTCCAAGTACATCTTTCACAGAAGCCACTTGAAGAAAAAGCTCCTTGGGTAGAAGGCCTGTGGTTTCCACAATTCTTCTAGCATCTTGTATGGGCTTCCCAACCCCTGCACCCAGTGGCAGCTGTCTGCTGAGGGTCAGAAGGAACAGGCCTCAGAACTTACCATGTAACAGAAGGACCAGCAACCTGTGGCTTTTCATGCACCTGGTGGCCTCGAACCGCCCAGCTGGGGGATTCCTACCTGAGGGGAGAGAGCACAGGTCACAGAGTGCCAAGAGGGGTCCCTTGACAACCAGGCCCTTCCCCACACCTCCATGCTTCCTCCCCCAAATGTCCAGCCTTTTCCGTCTTCTTCATACTATTTTCTCCCCATAGATCTTGGTGTTGGGTTAAGAGGAAAAGTAACATCCAATCAGAAGTTCCCCCAAAACTGACAGCTTGGATCTGTTTGGAAACCCTTCATCAGGCTAAAATCCTGACAGCAACTCAGATGGACTCACTGACAGCCCAGCGAGAAAATGGACAGACAGGAAACCTCTGCAGAGAAGTATTAGTGAATAGTCCCCAAATGTTGCTTACTGTCCTGGGGGTCTGCCTGGTCCCACTCCTCCAAGGTGCCCTTCAGTTCCCCCAGCCCATCCATCTCCCAAGTCAGGCAGCCGCAGACAGTAAAAATGGTCCGGCAGAGAAGTAAAGCAGTGTGTGCGTGCATGCGCATGCGCGTGTGTGTGTGTGCACACGCACGTGCGTGTGTGCAGGGCATGAGGAGGAATGGTTGCTTGTGCAGTTTTGAGTGCTTAGTGTTCTTTCTCCAGATTTAATGGCAGGAAAATCCTGTATCAGATGAGGATTAGTAGAGATGAAAGAATGTGTCTGCCTTTCCAATCACCAAAGCCAGTGACAGATTTTGCTGACACACCGATCAGCTTTATCCCCGGGCCTTGGCCTCTCCATCTGCCTGGCTCTTTTCTCTCCTTAAACCCTCCACAGAGTCCACCTCCTACCCTGACCCCTGCCCCAACCCCAGCCGAAGCCTCCAGCTGGGAATTGGCTTTCTGCCGCCCAAATGATATTATCAGCGTTTCCAACAAGGACATGTTATATAACTTGGAGAGGTGGGGAAGGGACAAGCTAGCTGAAAATAATGATGTTTTCATGAAATGCAGGCTGCTGATTTCCTCTCTTTGGAGTGGCTGATGGTGGGTGATCCAAAAACAGACTGTGGAGAGGACGCTTCCCTATAGTAAGGCTGGTCTCCCAGCTTCGGGTGGATGCTGTGTCAGCTACTGCCTAAGGCAGAGGGTCTGTGGGCCATTTTCAGAATCTGGCTGAGGTTTCTCCAACCCCCCAGGACACAGATAGGATTTGCTACTCAGAGCGTGGGCATGACCAGCAGTGGCTGTGGCATTGGGAAGCCAGTTAGGAATGTGGAACCTTAGTACCCTCACCCCAGATCTTTGGAATTTGCTTCTGCATTTTGACAAGTCCTATGCTCAAGTAAAGTTCAGAAACCAAAATATGACTGAACTTTTCATAACCTCTGTTGGGAAGGAAACCATACTGGGCATGGGGTAGGGATACGGGGGGGAGGAAGCTCCCCAGAGGAAGTCCCTGTCCCAGGGGTGGGCTCACTTTGCCCAGATGGGAGTGGTGGTCAGGACTCCCTTCATGACCACTGGCTTTGGAGGCATCCGTGTGGCCTTCATTCCAAACCTTGGCCCAAGGAAGCCTCTCCTCCCGCCACAGCAGGCCAGAAGCTGAAAGATGGCTGTGAGAGCAGCCTGTCTGCTCCTCCTGTAAACCTTGTCCTAGCTTACTGGGTCGACCTTGCCTTCAGCCTTCTCCAGGCTAGTGGGCCTGTGGCTTTGGGCCGAGGAATTTCCCTGAGGAAAGCCTTCTCTGCCTGTGAATTAAACACTCTCCTGAGCGTTAAGGAGCAATCAGAGACTCTCAGGGGAGAGAGCCAGGGGCCCATCCACTGAACCTGCTCGCACCACTGACTTGGGGGACAAGCAGCTTTGTTATTAAAACCTTGTTCCCAAGAGAAAAAAATCAAGAGGGGGAGGGGTTGTCACAGGAAGTGGGGTTGACTGGCATGCTCCTAGGGAGGAACTTGAGACAGAATCCTGTTATCCAAAGATAGAGGTGGCCCTGCCCACAGCCACCTGGGGGCTGCCAGGGCCTTTAGCACCACCCCGCCGGCTTTGCGTCCTGATGCACATGGGGGCTGAGAAGAGAGGGGCAGGAAAAGGGAGGAGGAGTATGCTAAGTGAGCATGTGAAATAGAGGGGGCCCAGAATGCAACACTTTACCTTTGCAGGTGGCCTTCTAGAAAAGCTTCCGTCAATAGAGAGGGGCGTGGGAGCCCTAGTGTTTCTTTGTAATTCCTGCTGCATTGGTTCGGGGCAGCTAGCAGGGACTCAGCAAGGGTCCTCTAATGAAATGAAGAGACAAAATTCCTCCTTAGGGTTCATGGATTCAGGCGGTCAGCAGCCTCCTATGGGAACTCTCAGAGGGGGCTTGAACACTAAGCCAGATGCTTTCTGTTTCTCCGCTCCTGACTCCTCCTGCTTGTACACGTGTACACACGCCACATGGAGACCATTCTGCTGGGGCCGAGGGTGCAGGCATATTTAGCCTGATGCCAAGTGAAACAAAGCATGGTGCCCTGTTTCATCTACTAGGAGGCAAATGAGGCAAGGTCCCAGCGGAGCCCTGGAAGGAAGTCAGCGATCGCTTCATGCAATGCCTGTAATTTACAGATGAGGAACCTCAGGCCCACCTGCAACATTAAATGTCCTTACGCTTATTTTGGTTTCCTCCAGAAGCACACCTGGAGACAAGGGTGACAAGGAAAAAATTCTGAAATGTCCTAAAATTAAGTGACAGAAGGACAGAGAATGGGGGAAAGAGACAAGGAAAGGTCATCAGTCAATAGCTGTGGGCCCTAACCAACCAGAGACTCCACAGACAAAGTCATTTCAACAATCACCTAGAAGGTCCCCAGAACCACTGCATCCACCTTGGGCATGACCAGTGTCTGATCATCATCACCAACCCTACCCCCGGACTTTCCCAGCTTCACACTAGTCCGCCTTCTGTATCTGTAGCCAATGTGAATATGAACAAGTTACTTTTGAGACTCCCTTATAAGTATGCCTGTTTTGGGTGGGGCAGACATGTTTCTGTTAGCTGGCCTTGCTGCTGGTGAAGCAGAAACTTCCTGCCCCAGGACTCAGTCCATATTTGGCCAGCATCTGTAACAGCTCAACAGACCTAGAGTTTTTGGTTTGTCAAGGAAAGGAATTGGAAGTACTTGATTTGGGAGGTGATTCCAGGAAGCGCCAGCAGAGGGGTGGCGAAGGTAGAAGTCTGGTGTTACCAGGCAAGTTGACACCAGGCAAGTGGAGCCTAATCCCTGGCAAACCACAGGAGATGGTGTAGAGCACACATCTCAGAATTATCTCAATGCAGGGCAGGGAGCTGGGGCGTTTCTACACCAATTCTCACCCTTAGGAGACACTGCTCCCAGAGATGAGGGGCTGTCCATGCTCCAGTAGCCTCTGGCTACTAGACAAAATGATGTAGATGCACTGGTGTCTAAAGAAACTTCTTTCCAGGGTCATCTCTTGCAGCAGATTGGGGGCAAAATTCCTTATGAAAGCTGGGAGTAGCTAAACTCCCCCAGTTTGGAATTGTTGAAGAAGTGCTGATTACCAAGGTGGCATGGTGCAAGGAGGGGTGTCAGGACTTTTGTCCAATGCCAAGCTGCCCTAGGATGGGCTGTAGGGTTCTCCTGATCTGATGGTCGAGGCTGCCCCTCTGGGGCTGACCCCCCCCCCCCCACCATTGTGATGCAGTGATACCGGAGGCTTTGCCTGGCATTCAGGGGACACAGATTGACCTCTAGCCTGTCTGCACTGTGGTCACAATTCACAGACACGCTGACCCTGACAGCCTGTCCCTGGGCGTTTTGCTCCTTTCTTTCCCTACTTCTTCACCTACTGAAACCCCAACCTTCCCAGCAGGCTTAGCCCAAGTGCTACCTCCCCAAAGAAATAAGTCATTTTCCAGCACCCTCCACCCTCACCTGGAGGCCTCAGATGGCCAGGGGCTGTGCTTGATCCAAGTCTGTACCTCCACAACACCTGGCCAGTAGCAGCCTCAGACTGGGCAAGATGGAGGGTATAGGGGCCACGTGCAGGCTGCCCCAAGATTTGCCACTTTGGCAGGCAGATTATGTCAGATCTGAAAACAATCAAGGTCCAAAACATTCAAATAAATTTGTACCTTCCCCCTAACTGCCTAACAATTTCGATAGAGGACCTGCTCCAGGAAGGAAGCTATCACATAGGTAACTACAGTATAATATTATCTAGGGGTGGTAAACAGGGAGGAACCTAGTGAAGTCTGTTAAAATTCTTCTTTATGTCCCACTGTGTTTGTGAAGCCAAGAAAACATTTGTTTACCAAATATTTACTCCTTTACATCTTCCTGTGAATTGCCTTCCCTTCCCTTGAAGCTGCAGACCCCTACCTTCTTCCTTACTTCATTTTTGCCTGTCTTTGGTATCGCCTATGTGGATTCCCCATATGCATGTAATTAATAACTTTGATTTTTCTCTGACTAATCTGTCTCACATCACTTTGAATCTTAGACCAGCTAGAAGGATAGAGGAAAATTCTTCCTCCCCAACAAGGGAAACACAGGGCAAGGAGGCATGGGGCCAGGGGACATGCCCAACCAGAACCATGTACCTGCGACCTCAGAACTCCCGACCCAACAGATTCTGAACCCACTCTTCTTAGTCCATCCTCCTGAAGGTGGACTGTTCCCCACTGCACACACCTGAGAAGTGGCCCCTTAAGAAGCAGCTGTTTGCACATGAGGACACATGTGTGAGAAAGGTGTCTCTTGTGGTGGGGGATGGAGAAAGGATGTGAAGGGAGGGAAGCCAGGCCACAGGCTTTGAGCTGGAGCCACTCTCTGTGCTTCCAAGTTCCAGCTCGTTATGCTGAAGAATACAAGAATTCCAAACTTGAACCTGGCCTTCCAGATTGCTATGGAGGTTAATCTGTCAAGGTAGGAAAATAGGACATATTTCATTTAACAGTTTGTCAGGGTAACTTACAACATTTAAATATTTAGACGTAAAGTATGTGGTCTCTCTGTGTGTACTTCTGCCCAGGTGCCACTAACATTAGCGATGGGTCTACTCTGGCACACAGGCAGAGGGGCACAAATGTCTGCTAATGAAGCCCACGTGAGAATTTGTGGGAGAGCTACAGAAAGAGGACTGGGGTGAGTGACAGCCTTGGCCCTGGCCCACCTTTTTATCTGACTGGGTGGTCTCCAGACAGGCACCCACATTTCCCGGCCTTATTGTACTTGAAATATATTCCACAATCTAGTCCAGACCACCATTCTTCACCAAGAAAACTGAGGTCCACAAAGGTTAAGTGAGCTACTCCCGGGGGACAGTTACATGCAAGTGTTGCTAAGACCCAGTCCTCCTGCCTCCCTGGTCCCTGGGATTCTCTGGGACCCTGGCAAGACCAGGAAGTAATCCCAATCCCGTGGCCACTCCCACTTCTGCATGAAGAGAAGGGGAAGGGGATGGTAGCCACCCCAGTTCTTGCCAGGCACCCCTTAACCACCTTACCTAAACCCATTCTGTGGCTAAAGCCCCTAACTCCTTTGTTCTCTATTAGCAAACTATCTTACTTCCCCTGTGGGTTCACCGTCGACCTTCCAATCGAAACCCAGCTCCGTGGGGGCTGGTTGGATCACCTTGGGCTCAGGGACCTCCTTTCTGGAACTGGGGGGAGGGGAGGGTAAGAGAAAACGGTGCCTTCATTCCGCTGACCCCAATGGAGTGACGTCACCGCAACTGCAGGCCGGGACACCAGCGGGGTGCGGGCTCGCTCCCCATTCCGTCCCCCGGGGTGAAGGGCGCGCCAGCGTGGTAACGGAGGGGCAGCAGGCGGCGAGTCAGAGATCGGGACGTTTCAGCCCAGCTCCTCCCTCTGTCCCTCCTAGGGCGTCGGAGAACTGGTTCAGCAAGCTAGCCTCGGCTGCAACCACGCGTGGCACAGTGGATTTTTCCTCTTAAGGTAAAATCCTTGCAAAACCCCTGCAGCTTCTGCCCGCGTCCAAATTCAGCCCCGTGGAACTCCGGGACGAAGGGGCGGGGCATCTGGAGCGGAGCCCCGCCCCTTCAAGCCCCACCCCAGCCGGCGTGGCCGCCAGAGGGCGCAGAGCTTCGGAGCCCGGGCGGGCGGCTCCCAGCCCCGGCCTCGCTGGCGCCCCGGCCTCGCGGGCTCCCCGCCCCCACCGCGCCTCTCTCACCAGCTGGGCTGGGCGGGGAAAGTCCCAGGGCTAGGCTGTGCCGGAAACGTTAGTCACGCCCGGGAGCCTCAGATTGTCCGGCTGGAAGGGGTGGCAGGGCGAGGGCCTGATTGGCAAAGATCACACCCTGGGGAGGGTCTCCAGCGTAGTGCCCTCCTACGCCGGCCGTGTAGACCTGAGGGCGGCTGATAGCCTACTTGCTCATGTAATAGGAATATGACTGTAAATGAAGAGCTGGTCCAGGGGCCCTTCCTGTCCTTTCACTCAACAAACGCTGCACACCGCCCAAAGATAGACCCCCTTGGCGTCTCTTTTAAAGTCATCGCTCTTTAGATTGCAGCAAAAATGGGGCTCTTCATTTCCCAGTGAAAGGAACCAGAGTTGCCAAAAAGGCTGCTTCCAGGTCTGGGGCATGCAAAGTACAATGATCCTGGAACATCTTACCATTTCAGAAGACAAGCGCATAAAGATACTTGGGTAGAAGGAAAGTTGAGTGGTTCCACTAACCAAAGGTGGGTCAAGCATCAATTAAAATAGTGACTGTAATGAATGAAAACGCATCCAATAAAAAATGTTTGTTAGATCGATTAGTTTATAATAATACTTAAAAAAGAAAAACTCTCAACAATAAACATTGGAAGTTACCAGGACATTATTCTGAAAGTTGATAACTAAAGAGAAAGAATCAGGCATTTATCTTGCCTTTCGTCTATGGACTGTATTTCACAGGAACCAAATACTCTAGTTAATGAGGGAAAGTTTTTCTTTATACAAGAATCACAACTAATAAACACAGACGTGATAGAATGAAGAAATCACTATGTTGTAATGAAATCATGGATCCTACTGACCATTCTTAACATGTTCCCAGAATGGCACAACCATGTATTGGGTGCCCCCTGATGTGTCGTAAAAGAAAGTACACAGCACTACCACTGAAATATTCCAAATCGAAAAAAGAAAAAATCTGAAGCTAATCAAGCCTCCAGATCTAGCTACTATTTAAAGAAATAAGGAGGATAGAGAAATATGTTAAAAGATGCAAAGATACAATCAGCTAAATATAGACTGTGGAAAGTTCTACAGGGCAAATGATTCAGTTTTTCCAATAAATTAACAGAACTGAGGAGGAAGAAGAAGAAGGAAGATCTGTTAGGAGACTTAAGAGACATCAATCAATGCAATTTTGGGACAATTTTGAAACAATCAGTTTGAAATACAGGCTGATCGTTAGATAATATCCAGAACTGGTTTCCTGTTGGCTGTGATAAGGAGTATTATGGTTCTATTCATAAACTTTTTATGCATTAGGAAAAAATACAGATGTATTTACGGTGAAATGATATGTCTGGGAGTTTCTTTAAAATAGTCCCACAAAACAAGTGGCAGAGGAGAAATGAAACAAAAATAGCAGGAAGTTGTTATCTGTGGAAACTAGGTGATGAGTAATACCTGGAGTCTCTAATTTTCTGTGTGTTTGAAATTTTTTCCTAATAGCTTTTTTAAAGTATACCCCTCATTTGGCCCCTCTCAAATATATAGCTAGATGTATTTGGTGGGAAGAAAATTTTCTATTTTTCTCTGCATTACTTCCATGCATTCCTATCAATTTTCTTATATTTCCTTCATTTGAAAATGCAAATAACCTACGAAAAGTAAAATAATGAGCAATCACTCCTTCCTTTTTTGGTCTAAAATAGTTCCATATATAACCAGGAACTTAAAATGGCTGAACTAAAGAGGACACAGAATCAGAACCTCTGAGTTTTATGACTGATTTGATTTATTGTTCTGGTGTCCTTGTTTGCTTTTGTTTGTGTACATAACATTAGGGGGTGGCTTATAATAAGCAATAATTTCTTACAGACCCCAAAATGTGCTTTTTTGGCTCAGCTGTCTAGCATGTCAAGGTATGAATAAATTTGTGCTCCTCATTTATAAAGGCCGTGAATGTCAATTCTTGGTCCAAGCAAAGAAAGGTTGAAGGTATGGGGAGAGAGCTTTATTCTACCGAAATCCTTGCCCTAAACAAGACCCTTCTTGTGTTTCGTTTTCCTCTTTTGTAAAATAGGGATGTTTGACTTCTTCCTAGTAGAGTGTTAAAGGCTAATTAAAGCCTGTGGAAGCACTTTAGAAGACCCAAAGATGTACTATGCTAGAGAAGTGAAAACTATCATTAATATATTTTAATCATCACATTAAATACCCACATAGACACACCCACCTCTTCTCCATTCAGACACATTTTTGCAAAGGGGTAATTAACACGGATGATGTCATAACCACAGATCTCTGCTTTCATCCTGAAAGCCGCAAAGTTTCCAAATGCTTACTAACTCCTCATTAGACTTTCTAAGTATATTAAATAAGTACAGATTCCCCATATCCGAATAAAAGCATGCTGGAAAGAGAAACCTTTTTCTTTGTAAACAGAATAAATGAACATTAAAAGTACCATCTTTTAGGTAAGTCTGCCAAAAATCTAGAGGGCAGCAATAATAAAATTACATGTTTGGAAAATCAACTGGACTGCTTCCAGAAAGACACTCCACCCCCTCACCCTAGACCTGTACCTGCCCTTTAAGTCCTCAGCACACCAGGAGGTGAAGAGCCGCACGGTTCCTGTCTCTTGGCACCTACCCAGAAAGGGATGACAGCAACTTTTCTGCCATTGAATGCCAACCCTCCAGAAAATAGCCAACTTTTTGGCTATCACTCCAGCAAGGCATCAACTCCAGCAAGGCAGCTTGTTGAAATTCTAATACTGTGGTCTCAAATTCCCTTATGGTGGGAAACCCTGTGTCCTTTTCCAGTGTCTACGGGGATAGTAGGATAGGGTGATAGGACAGGAGAATGGTACATTTCACCTAGTGACTTCTGGTTCTGATTTCTGGCTTGTTCAGAATTCCGTCACCCACATCTCGCCTCTTGTTTCCTCTCTATGCCAAGTCAGCCCTAACATGTAATAAAGCCCCTATTCCTCGAGCTCCCCAAGACACCACTTACCTAGGCTGCTGTGAATGTGTAGCAGACTGTTGCTGAGGATTTGGAGGCAGCAACGGGTTGCTCTCACTGTTGCCCGGCAGCTGCATCTGGGAGGTCTCTCCCTGGGCACCAAGTGAAACCTCAACCTGTGTAGGGGAGGGTCCTTGGTTCTGAATGAAAAAGAGTTCTTGTGCAGGTCTGAACAGTGTAGGTAAAGAAGGAATTTATTAAAACGAGACTAGTAATGAATGCAGGCAGCTGAGGCCAGGCAAGTGCAGTGGGAGGGAGCGGGAGCTTGCTGACCTTGTGGGTATAGGGAAGTCTCCCTCGCCAGCTCCTGAAGCCAGGGTCACCTAGGTGATGGGAACTCTCAGGCCCAAATCTGAGGTCTCAGCAGCCCCCACTACTTAACAGAAATAAAGCAGAAACAAGTGGAAACGTGGAAATAAAATGAAATCGCTAAGAAACGAAGACTCTTACTACTGGAAAAGCAGAGACAAAACGCAGTTAAGTTGAGCAGTGAGAAAGCTTTATTTAAAGTTATGCACTTAAAGAGAGAAAAAGTGCGGGTGTCCTCAGAGAGGAGGTGCACTGAAATGTTGGGGTTCCCCCTTTAAGGATTTTTTTCAGGAATGTGACAAAGAGCAAGGGGGTGTAAACTTGTCAAGTGGTCTCAAGATGTTTATCTTTGATAAGAGACATTACATCTCTTCTATTATCAATCCTCCAGGTAATTCTGCAAAATTAGCTTAACACAAGAAATTTACTGATCCAGTTCCTCCCCAGAATAGCAGCTTCCTCTGGGAACATATCAGTCAAGACCACCTGCCCTGCCCCAAGGTGAGTTGAGTTTTTGTCTGTTTGCTAAAGAATATGTTAAGAATCTTACTTCTTAGCTTTCTGGATTTTAAAATGCAATGTTAGCTCTAAGATGGAATCTTTCCTATGTTTCTATGCTGTTTATATTTGGGCTTGTTTGCTAAATTAATCATGATGCCTGTCTCCTGCCCAGGTTGCAAATTACTTGATTAGTGGCTGGAGGAGGAAAAAACAGCATATAGGTTAAGTTAAAGAATAAACTGGGCCTTTAGCAAATAACTCTTCCAATGGCTTGATCTAATTGACACAATGAAGACATGGGCTGTGCTCAGATACTTTCCTCTATCTGGGGACTATTTGGATATTCCAAGTTACTCCTGGCCTTTGGAGCTTCAACTGATTAATTCATTAGCTCTGTGAGTCTTTTCTGGCTCTCTAGGTTTAACTGGTTAACTCTCTGAATCCCTTTTGGTGGGCTTTACTGGCCTTATTTTCTCTCCACCCTGCTCTTATCTATTTTTCTCCCTAACATCACCCCACCCACCTTTCCCCATTAAGGACCCCTTCCCCTGGGCCTCTCTTCCACTCAGCTCCACCTCCAGCCACTTGCCCCTTCCTTTGTTTCTCTCCCTAGCAAACTCATGGGAAATACTCTAAATTCTCATTCTTTTCCTATACTGAGCAGTCTGGGTCTCTCTCTGTCTCATTCCCAAGTGGCCCCAGCCCCTCTATCTTTCTGCAGTCACAATGGCCTGCCATCTTGCTTTTCTAAACAAAGTCAGTTCTCCCCCAAGAAGAGCCGCTATTCTGTATCACTCAGGAATATTTTTCAGAAATTAACAATTTCTGCAACAATTGACAGAAAAATCCATCAATAATGCCTTATATCAGTTCTCAAACTTCTTCTAGCTTCAGGACTCCTTTACACTCTTAGAAATGATTGAGGATCCCTAAAAGCCTTTGTTTATGTGGGTTATATCTATCAGCATTTATTGTATTAAAAA